GCACCTCTTTTCTCTAGTAAACAAAAACTAAGTTACTCACCTACTCATTTATGTTATGATGGAAAAAGCTGTAATCAAAATGATCCGTTTTAACTTATGTTAATTATTTTTTACTTGAACTATCATCGAAATGTTTTAGTACTAATAAAGATAAGTTTATGATTTAGTAAGTAGTTAACATTTAATAAGAATTGAGAATTTTGGCGTAGTTAAAAATGTGAAATCAAGTTATTTACAATGATTGATTTTTTAGTTATTTACAGTTAATTTACACTTACGTGGTTCGGAGTAAGTGTTCAAAATGTCCACAGTTTTCCACAATGCATAGTCTAGCATGGCATAGTAAATTTTGTTTAAATTGTTCAACACAAACACATTTTGTCTCACAGTATAAAATGCTGAGATAATTCTCTCACGCAACACTTCGACACTGTTCACCTCCTCCGCATAAACTCCCATTTGGGAACATTTCTCCGAACATTTCAATAGCTCGCCTCACACCACCACCACTCGCCCATCCTCGTCAATCCCGACCATTTCCACCGAAGATGCGCTAGGAGAGAATCGATATTTTGCCATACAAGTTTTAAAAATCGCCTCGCCTCGCCGGTGAAAATTGTGAAGAGAATGCATATTCTATCACTCTTCATTGTCTATGCTGTAGGTTGCTATGGCTACAGTCTGACTTGTTATTTTTTCACTCTTGTCACTCATGTATATACTGTTACATTTAAACTTGCTCTACTTATTAAATATATAATAATAATATTCATTTATACTTGCATATCCTTTATTATTCACATAACAAAAACTTAAAATGGTAGCAGAGCGTAAAAGGATCCGATATTTTTTGAAGTGAAGTGTAAAAGTCGCGCAATATAAGACGATGCCGAAAACGACATATCACATCGAACCTTTGGATAAGGATAACTATGATGATATGAAGCCGTGCTAATAAAAAACAAACTTTGGAAGTATGTTACTAACACACTACCTCCAACTCCAAGCAACGATGAACTTGACAGCGACAGAGAGGCTAAGTCAGAACTTATTTTACTGATTGCACCTTCACAGCTAAAGGACATCAAGAAATGCACTTCTGCGAAAGCCCTATGGGACAAATTAAAGGAAATACATGCAAGTAAAGGCCCTGCGAGAAAAGCTACTCTTCTAAAACGGTTAATACTAACTAAACTTGAAGACAGCAATGTTCGTGAGCACCTGAACAAGTTTATGGACACAGTAGACAAGTTAGCAGAAATGGATGTAGATATTAACGAGGAACTACTCACTATCCTGATGCTCTACAGTCTTTCCTCTGAATACGAAAACTTTCGTATAGCCATGGAGTCACACGACGTTCTACCGAAACCTGAGGAACTTAAAATAAAAATTATTGGAGAGAGTGACGCTCGACACCGTGACGTCGAAGTCAGCCCGCCACCACATGAAGAAGAAAACGCACTCTACGTATCTTGCAAAATCTGTAAGAAATCGGGACGAAAAATCTTTCAGAAGAAGACGCACAAGATTTGCTCTAACTGCTGGAAGAAAAATAAAACGGCTAAAGGCTCAGAAAATAAAAGTTCCTACTATGCCGAAGATTGCTACCTCACTTCAAACAAAAACAACCAGAACGACTGGATACTTGACAGCGGCTGTACCTCTCATATGACGTTTCAACATGAGTACTTCAAAAACTTTAGTACAGTTTCAAGAAAACTTAATTTTGCTTCAGAACAGCACTCTACTGAAATTAAAGGTGAAGGCAGAGTAACACTGAAAACCAATTATCGAGTAATTAATCTCGAAAACACTCTGTACGTACCCTCACTTAATAAAAATTTACTCTCATTGCCAAAAATGACAGAACATGGAGCTTCTGTAACTTTTAAAAAAGATAAAGCGGTAAAGAGATAAAACGCAACAAGACAGGAGATTTGGTTATGACTGCGGAAAAATGTCAAAATAGTGGTCTCTACTATGTCAAGTCGCAAACCATCGAACAAAATTACGCAGCTACATTTGAAACAATTTCAAACAGTGCGAAGAAAAACTCCTTACTGGAATGGCACAGGAAGCTTGGACATATGGACGACAAAGATCTGCGTCTAGCTCTCAACAAGGAGACTTTGATTGGATTACACTTTGACAAAAAAGAGTCTCTGTCCGACTGTGAAACTCCACAAAGAACAACTCCTAGAACAACTGAACGTTTGGAGATTGTCCACAGTGACGTGTGTGGTCCTATCACACCTTCTAATGGAAAGAACCGCTACTTCGTCACCTTTATAGACGATTACAGTAGATATGGACGTGTCTACTTTATGAAAAACCAACCTGAAGTACTAAATCACTTCAAAACATACAAACGAGAAATGGAAACATTTACTGGAAATAAAGTCAAGCACCTGCAAACAGATAACGGCACAGAATATGTCAACGGCAAATTTCAAGCCTATCTTCAGGAAAATGGAATAGTAAGACGCTTATCCGCACCTTATACCCCACACCAGAACGGAATTGCTGAACGCAAAAATCGTACACTGCTGGAGAAAGCTAGAGCAATGCTAATAGACGCCAAAGCACCTATGTTTCTATGGGCGGAAGCCATAAATACGGCGAACTATTTATCCAATAGAAGCATAAACAGTGCTATAGAAAACAGAACGCCATTTGAAAAATGGGTACTAAGAAAACCGTGCGTCAATCATCTCCAGACTTTTGGAACTAAAGCATTTGTGCTTATAAAAGGTCGTGCTAAAGGTCCTAAATTTACACCTAAAGCGATTCCAGGAGTATTTGTTGGGTACTCTGACACAAGCAAAGCATACAGGGTATATGTTCCTACCAAACGCAAGATATTTATTTCCAAAGATGTAAGAATTGTCCAGACAAATTTTTACTCAAATACTACCAACAATTTTGACAATCTTACTCACTCTGTTTCGACCACACCAACAATTGAATTGAACATTGAAGATACTCAAGATCAACGACAAGATACAAATTCAATTCGAATTGATCCAGATTCCACTCAAGAAATAGGTGTCATTGATCAAGAATATGACACGGAAGATGAACAGCAAGAATTCTACGAAGTTCCTGATCACGATTCTGAACCCGAATCGAACGAACATGAATCTGAACATGAAATTCCACCACATGAACTGGGGCAATATAATCTGAGAAACAGATCAGCAATACAGCGACCACAACGGTATGATGACTTTGTACTGGAAGCTGTCGCTGAAGTCGAAAACCTACCGAAGGATCCAGAAACTTATAAACAAGCTATGGAATCTCCTTATAAAGATAAATGGCTCAAAGCTATGTTAAGTGAGATAAATTCACTACACGAAAATCAGACATGGGATTTAGTGAATTTGCCTAAAGGAAGAAAAGCTTTACCTTGCAAATGGATTTATAAATTGAAAACGAATCCAGACGGTTCAATAGATAAATTTAAAGCAAGGGTAGTTGTTAAAGGCTACTCCCAACAACAAGGCGTGGACTATGACAAGACATTTAGTCCTGTAGCCCGCCTTAGCACAATTCGAGCAATAATAGCAATTGCGGTTAAAGAAAATTTAAAGTTGCGACAATTTGACGTAGCAACTGCCTTCCTTAATGGATCAGTCAAAGAAGAAATCTATGTGAAACAGCCTGAAGGGTTTCTCGACGGAACCAAACGAGTCTGTAAACTCAAACGCAGCTTATACGGACTGAAACGGGCGCCGCGCTGCTGGAATTCGTGCATAGCCGAGTTTTTACATGGTTGGCTTTCAACAAAGTGAAGCAGATCCCTGCCTATACGTTAGAATTAAAGGACGGTCCAAAGTCTTGATTGGATTATATGTCGATGACGGGCTGGTTGCGCATAATTCAACTGCAGGAGGAGACGAGTTCATAGATGAACTGAAATCCAGATTTAAAATTACTACCAAACCTGCCTCATATTTTCTAGGAATGGAAATTAACGTGTGCGACGATCACACTATCACAATTTCTCAAAAAGCCTATACAAAGAAAGTGCTACAAAATTACGGCATGACTAATTGCAAAGCAGCACCAACTCCTATAACGAAAGAAAATTATACGGGAGAGGAAGAGGAAGCAAATGGAAATTTCCTAATAGACAAACCATTGGTGCACTGGCATACCTATCAGTAGGCACTAGACCAGATATCTCATACGCTGTAGGTGTTGCGTCTAGGAACCTTGGAGCACCTGAAAGAAAGGATGTTGTACTGGTTAAACGTATATTCAGGTATCTAAAAGGGACACTAAACAATGGTCTTACGTTTCCTGCGAAGTCACCTCCACATTTAGTTTGCTACAGTGATGCAGACCTGGCTGGCGATCAAACAACTGGACGATCGACGTCGGGATACGTTTGCATGTACTCCGGAGCCGCTTTAAGCTGGAGAAGCCAAAGACAAGGGACTGTCTCAATCTCGTCGGCAGAGGCAGAAATAATGGCTGCCAGTGAAACCGCACAAGAAATATTGTGGCTGAATGCCCTATTAAAGGATATAATCTCCTTAGAAAAACCAGTACTCTACTTGGACAATGAATCGGCTGTGAAACTATCTCATAATCCAAAATATGAGTATCACAAACGTACTAAACACATTAAACTCAAGCATCTCTTTGTACGTGAGTGTGTCACCAATGGGGAACTACTAGTGAAACAAGTTCCATCTACAACACAATTGGCAGATATGCTCACTAAGCCATTGTACGGTCCAAGATTGGAAGATTTGAGTGGAAAAATTGGACTTAAAAGAATTTCTAAATAGAATTACCAAATTCTTAAAAGTTCAGAGGGTGTGAAGAGAATGCATATTCTATCACTCTTCATTGTCTATGCTGTAGGTTCCTATGGCTACAGTCTGACTTGTTATTTTTTCACTCTTGTCACTCATGTATATGTATACTGTTACATTTAAACTTGCTCTACTTATTAAATATGTAATAATAATATTCATTTATACTTGCATATCCTTTATTATTCACATAACAAAAACTTAAAAAAAATACATCCTTACACTTTCTACAGTCTTGATATTCCTCTTGCGCATTCTAACACTCCACTCAATTCAATATCGATTGGGTTTCTCCCCAATCGATAGTGAATTGGGTGGGCCAGTGGGCCTATTAGGCATAGGCATTTAGCAATGCTTAAAAACTTCTTAAAAAAACTTCGACTTAATTAATGAATTTATTTCTTTAAAGTACATATATGACGAAATCTTTCAATTTATTTGTCTAAAAAAAGAGCGATTTTTTAAAAATATCCTACAGTATGCAACTCTACTTTTTTTTGTTCGTTTTGTTTTTATAAAGCATAGTTTGACCTCAGATAACAACGGCCCATTCATTACCTGCATACACAAACTAATAAGAGATACTATAGTCTATTTCAATAGAATTGAGAGTAAACGTAAACAAACCAGTTGGGTTAAAATTCTGAAGAAATCACTCACTATATGGAATAAGTAACACTTTTATGTGTATTTTATAGGTTTCCACTAGATATCTCACCACTTTTTCCAACAATATTCGTTTGTTATGCATTACAAAATCATAATTGAAAAATCTTCGCCGAAAACTGAGATTGATTTGACAATCCATAGTCTAGAATGTCTATGGTTGCATAGGGATGTACGGAAAAAAGTTCAATTGAGTGAATCATAGTTTGAGTAAGTGATTGCCTCAAGAGTCACCAGAAACTTACGTCTTGAAGTCATTTGACCAACTCTTATTTCTGTACCGCTTACAAACGATTTAGCGACTTGTTAACTATCAAGTATTCTCATAATTTTCTGTATTTAACTGATAACTTCTAACTTTTAAACAATAAATGTCAATAATCGTAAATAAAGAAACGTTTTTTTATGTATCACCTTCAATCAATTTACAACGGTCAAATGCGCGGAATTCACTTGATGTTAGTCCAACAGATTCAATTAATCGATCTGATTCATTCAATAATTGATTACTAAATTACTCTACAATTGCCCATCACTAAACCGACTATGGTCGGGTCAATGCACTCAATGTTTACCTTTACTCTCAATTCATTTGAAACAGGGTATACCTGCATAGCAGTCCTCCGCGCAAGTAGGAGACTGCTCACGCACTATCCTGCATATAGCCTAAGTATGGAATCTCGCACGACTCTTTGCAGGTTTACAGGATGGCTTGCACGCTGCGACTACATTCATGATCCTGCATTACGCGATGCAGGATAATGAATGAGCCCTTTTAGAAAAGCCAAAAGAAAAAAATTGAGTTTGACAATTTGACATTGATGCAAATTAAATTTATTTTTTAAACTTTTACAGAAAACAAGAACAATAAATACTACAGAAATTAGTTGTTTACAAGTTACACTAGTACAAAGGCACTATTTATAAATTCAAAAATTATCATAAACTTGTGTCTTTTATAGTTCTGTTGCTCTGTTCAATAACAGAACTACTCAACAGAACAGGTGGGAATAGAGAAATAAAAATAATGTTGGTAACAGTGGCTGAAACGCTAACCACGAAAAGCTAAGAACAAAAAATTAGGTACAGAAGTTTAAAAATAAAACTAAATTCATACCAGAACAAATAAACGTAATTTTTAATAGACAATCAGCAACAACAGACAGTCTTAATAAAAAAACTGTTTAAGGTGAATCGAAAACACAAATTGTAACAGTACTTAATAAGTCCTTGAAGGGTCGTCATGTGGTCGTCATGCATTTCTTACAATAGTAAAAAAACCCACCAATTTTTCTCTACCATTACTCTTGGCCAATGAAATGGTAGAGTCACTCAACACCAACATTCATGTTGCCAGTATGGTCATACTGCCCATATGGTATTTCATGTTTATTCAACAATGTTCCCTCTGTAGCATTTCTTAAGACTTACAATAAGATCATCTGACGGCTCCGAACCCAGAAACGCTTTCTTTACTTAATAAATCTGTTATGTACCTTTGCAACAATATAGCTGCTTTAAATCTATCAGGTCCATACAAACATTGATTAACCAACTTTGAAAACGGTCCTTTCTCAAACTGGTCAGGTACTGGTTTCAAAAACGGTTTGTCATCACCATTCAACACATAACATGCTGAATAAATGTTATGATCACTCAAATGATGTCTACATATCAAATCTATAGAGAACATGTATCCTACAGAATTTTCATCATAATCTTTTATATAACGTTGATACCAGTTTCGAAGGTCCCTTTTTGGTGTTATATACTTGTCTAAAATAATGACATCTTCTAAGTCAACATAGGATACTTGGTCTTTTTCATTCACCACTATATTGTCAGCTGACCAGTCAAAGAAGTAGAAACGGTATCTGAAAAAGAAATTGGTGAATATATTACAACCAGAAAACTTGGTACAAAACTGTAATATGAAACTGTGTAACATGGAAGGTCATGACTAGAACAAATTATTTCTCAAAACCAAATATGTTACATACACAGGTTTCCAATATACCTAATACCCATGCATATAACTCTCTAATAATGTGTATAAATGATATTATTGCCACAAAGTCAGAAAATTGCTGTAAATGCATTGTTACTGTCAGAAATAATTCATTTTTAGGTACTGATTATAGTTTGACTACCTTGGGGACCTGTAGATTAGCATTGTGGGTGTTAGTTGAGGGTACTAAGTTTGATTCTTAGCCTAATCAATTTGGGAAACTGAACTGTTCTAAATGGGGTCTGGTCTGAGTGTTCTAGTTAATATCCCAAGTGAGTTAAGTTGATTTGAAATTCATAATACAGGGAATCATCTAGTTTGAGATCACATAATTGGTGTATTGTTTTAAATGTAAATAAATAAACAAATACTAGGCAACATCACTTAAGTCTCCCTGATCCCAAAGTAAATAGCTAAAGCACTTGTTACGGAAATCAGAAACAATAAGGGTACCACACTCAGACCTGAGACAATATAGAAAAGTTAGTTTCTATACTGACCCAGCCGAGAGTCGAATTCGGAACCTCAGAGATGGCGACACCATGAAAACCGGTGTGAAAGCCATTCTACCAAAATGTAAAACGTTCATTTAATACATGACTGTGTGTTATTTATGACCGAGTATAGATAATCAATTTTGTTGTTTAAATCTAAGCTGTGAAAGGTAAAATATTCTGCTATTCCACTTGACTGAGATCGCAGGTTGGGGTAGATGTAAAGGACCATCCTACCATAAGGATCTTGCAAACAAATACTTTTTAAGAATTAAGGCTAAGTTTACCTATCATGTTTAAAAGTAAAATCCATGGCCATTTCGAGGATCTGTTTGGCAATCTTCAGTTTTCTATACCATGCAATGTTTCCAAGATCTGATAGAGGGACTCCTTCATCAGCTACTACTTCCAGTCTGCCGCAGACTCCGGCATATGCTGGGACAGCCCAGCCTCTAGACTTTGGGAGTATCTGGATAAATGAAAAAAAAAAAAATAATAAATAACGCACACACTCAACGTAGCCCCGCACTAGGGAATCCCTGTGTTGCGGGTGCCATGGACACACACATAGACAACCACAAATTACACCCAAACTCACGAGAGAAATAAATGTAGGCCATACAAACATTTCTCCCGGCCCGGGAATCGAACCTGGGACCTCTGCGTGGCAGTCCGGCATGGTAACCATTTGGCCACGAAGGCAGTTGATATAAATTCTATATATGTGAATTTGGAATTGTGGCACATAAAAATGGATACATAAGTACACAGTTTAGTAGCGATGAATGTTTTATTTATCGCCAATTGTTTTGTTTTAACAAAGCTGCAAAGCAAACACAGATAATGACACCGCACAAACATAGTTGTTTGCTTATGCTCCATAAAAGGAAATGTGAACAGAAAATGATCTTGCATTCAGTGTTATTGGCATACAGCATGAAAAGCAGTGGCACTGGAACACAATTCTATGTCTCTTTATCATTTATTTGCCATACAACCACGACCCTAGACTCAAAATATGTTTATCACATAGTATATTATACCAAAGAGTTTTTAGACACATACCTGAAGAATTATCGGTTCTGCATTAAGATTTACCATAGTCCAAACATTGAGAAGATCAGATTTGTACTGTTTTCCTATTTTATTATTCAAAATTGGTTTCAGGAAGTCATGTATTCCTTCCGGATAAGGACAGAAAATCAACCCAGTACGAGGCTGTACAGATACATTTCGTGTCAAGTTATAATGGACTATATCCATAATTTTTTTATTGATGTTCGTAGCGTTTAGCAAATCCATTGGTGTGCAATTACTGTGTAAATTAAACGTCTTACAGAGATTGTTATCGAACTTGTCCAACTGTTTGTCGTACGCTAGTTTCTTTAATATTACTTTTCGATTTGATTTGGTGTAACCGTGATAGATGTTTTTCACATTGAAAAGGAGATCTTGCCAGCGATGTTCTTCGAGGACAATTTGATTCGAATAAAGCTCAGGACATATGCTTATTCCATAACAAACCGGACAGCGATTCAAATCGGTTAAGCGCACAACCTTAGGAATCTTCAAATTGCCGAAAATAAAAACAGGTATGTAAAACGAAATTGCAAATGTTATAGTCAGAAAAATCAGTCGCTTCCAAAATCTTCGGCGTATCCACATTCTTTTGTACAAGGCATCGGTCACTATTATTGACATTTTGATTTAACATTTAAGCAGGTAGTAGTAAAATGTTTCATCCTTCGGAACAGGCGTCTAAAAAAAATATTTTTACAAAATCATACGAATGAAACTAAACAGAATTTTTAGAAATTTTTGTTTCCAATGTTTTCAATCATCACCCAATAATTTAATTTTCTCAATAATACATTTTTTAATTTTTCTTATCAATTTTTTGGCTCCACGCAGCTAGCGGTTTAGCTGTTTTTAATTCACATGCATCTCTAATAAGTTTGTGATTCACATTACTGTTGAATTGTGAACCGGTTAAGAAACTATCTACTAAAGAAATCGATACCTAAATAGAATTTGGACCGTTAAATCAGAGATGAGAATAACTGCTTACTTTTTTAAACGTTTAAACGTTATGCTTTTTAAAAAAATGCGTGCTTTTTTATACGCTTTTTCACTTAAACATGACTTAGGGTCGTATTCTAGAACTCTATTCAATGCTCAAGTCAGGATTGCACTGGCAACACAAGCACTAGAAATACGACCCTAATAGCAGGCACTTAAGTATGATATCAAGTGCTTTAAGCCATACTCAAATCTTAACTTGAGCATTGAATAGAGTTCTAGAATACGACCCTTAAACGCTTTTAGTTTGAAGCTAACAAAATCGTTTAGAAAACGTCTAAGCGCATAGACTTATATGTTAAAAAAAACTTGCAACGTTGTTTTGTTGATAGGGAAACGCAAGAGTAGACCACTAAAGGTTTTAAGATAAGTAAGTTATTTTTGTAAAAAACGAGTTCTATTTTTATTTATGACATAACATTACTATATTAACATTTTGTTCATTGACGTTTAAAAACATAAGTTGTCAACTTTTATAGTTGTTAACCGTTGAAATGGAAAAAACTTTTTATTTTTTTAACGTTAAAATGTATGTTTAAAAAGCGTGCTTGTAAAAGCGCTTTTCACATAAACGCTTTTTAGTTTGACGCTTAAAAAGTCGTTTAGAAAAACGTTAAGCGCATAGACTGACCCAACGCTGAAATGCTTATGTGCTTATTTTAAAAAGCAGATTTTTCTAAGTGCTTTTCGTTTAAACGCCCACCTCTACGTTAAAGTATAAGGTGACATAGAGTTGAATTTAAATCAAGCTGACGTGTTTTCGTCCCCGCCCTGGCTGTGCAAAATTTTTGAACTACCTACCTACCTTACTCCATGCTTAAACGGCCCATTCTCTACCTGCATGGCAGGTATAAAATAGAAAATAGAGTTTACAACAAAAATGCAAATTGGCATGTGACAGCTGTCAAAACATTGTTGGTGTTCCACAAGGAAAACAAGGAAGCACTATTGTTTTGGTTTCCATTTATTGTAGAAAGAAATAGAATTATACATTTCATTAGTAAAAGAGTAGGATACACATAGGAAAAAGCGTGATGCATGTAGTATCTTTTATAGTAGTTGTGTTGATGCGTACCAGTACCACTGGAACTGTAGTTTAGGATTGTTATCAATGTGTGGCTTAGTGAATTGCTGACGAATGTTCAAAATAAATAATAACAAAGCGTAATTTGATAATAATTCGCATTTCAAAGTATTTTCGGTACTACCGAGTATTGTTGCAACATAAAGTATTACTTGTAATTTGAGTATTTCAGTGTTAACATTCTTACTTTTGATCAGCTGTTGTATTTTGTAGAGCAATGGAATTTCTATCTTATTTCACGCATAATTACTCGGCGAGTCTATACGACATGATTGGTAAGTGGTAATTTAATCAAAACCCTTTTTTAAAAGTAATAAGTAAGTGTAACTGTTAGTTTATGACTTATTTGCTAAGTAAGGCTTCTCGCATTCTTTAAATAGTTTAGTCATTCCTACACGCCCTAAAAGACGTTTTATAAAACGAGATTTTCCACTTAAAACATATTTAATTTCATAACATAAACACTAACATGTGTAACTATTATATTTTTTTATCAACAATAAATTTTAGCTATGGGAAAAGACATTATGCCTATCTCATTATTTAGGTATTGCATATTTACCCGCCTTATATTACAATTAAATTAAGCCTTACCTTATATTACAATCAAATTAAATTAAGAGAACAAGAACATAAAGCCAAGTGTGGTGTAAGAAATTTTTATCTGACATTTTTTAGGTTTAAGATACTTGAGCCAATAACCTGGTTTTATGACCTAGAACAACCAAAACTAGACCAATTTCGAAAAGTAACTTCATTCCTAAGACTTAATTGTGCAATTCAAGGCTTAATAATTAAAATTAAGCTATCAATAATCCATAAAATAGTTATTCTGAAGTTATATTATTCTGTTTTTAAAAACTCAATTTTTATTACATAACATGGTACATAATGCCATCATTACCTGATGAGTCATTTCATGAAGTTAAAAGTTGTCTTGTGTAGTAATAATTTATTCAACTGCATAATTTTGGTTTGAAAAAAACTTGTTTTTACTATTATCCTCTCATGACAATATATCTGCGTGTCTGCAATGATAAACACAAGATGAAGTTCTTGATAAGATAATTATCTTTAGCTGTAGACTATGAATAATGCATTAAATCGATTCTTTTTAAGTTCTTATTAATTTCATTAACTAGAAATATTTATATAAGCAGTGTCTTATTGATTTTGTGCATAGCATATTTCTTGGGATTATCTTGATTAGGCAACTAATGCCCTACTATTATGTTTCGCAACAAAGAAGTTCATTGATTTGTTTTGTAGGTTGCATTAACTATCATTAATAAAAAAATCTGATATTCTCAGTACAAAAAATTTAGACTGTTAAGCAACTTTACCCCTATTTACGGCTTACAAAGTATGCAATTGAAGTGATTTCTTAACGAATCCTATAATTTTTTTAGTACAAGCAATAAAGTTGCAAAATTATATTTATTTATGAAAAATGTACTATTATAGATATTATACATATATCAGATTTAAATGACATATAGGTAAGGTAGGACTATGAAACCTGTGAAGGGCCCGATATGTTGGTTGGTTGAAAAAAACAGATATGCTCGATTTAAATCCGAAATCATAATTTCGCTTTCTGTGTGTGATATAATTGCGAAAGAAATTGCTAAAGAACTCTATAAATCCGTTGTGAATTCCTAACCCACATTGGGCCAAACCCACAACACTCTCCTTAGATGTGGACATAGAATGTGTAGATGATGATAACGAATGGGACTATCTTTGGAGAACCTTCTCCGTTAAGTACAAATAACATAATCACAACTTCCGTCTCTGGAGTCAAGGCAGAAATTCTTGATTCTTTGCCATAAATCTTAGGGCCAGTGCAAACCGGCGGAAGGCGGGAGAGAGCATCGAGGAGGATTTTATACACGCTAATGCACACTGTTGATATTCCCTACGATGTTGCGAGCGTCCGCCAGCGTAACGCAGAGTTCGCTGCAATAAACTTACTATCTTAGAACCTTAAGCTACTCTTGCTTTTCGCCATCAACACGATGTTGCAAGTTTTTTTTTAACATAACGCACACACCCAACATAGCCCCGCATTAGGGATACTTATGTCGCGGGTGCCATGGACACACACATAGACAATCACAAATTACACCCAAACTACAATATATACTACGTAATACAATACAAATATTTCTCCCGGCCCGGGAATCGAACTTGGGACCTCTGTGTGACAGTTCGGCCGGCATAGTAACCGTTCGGCCATTGAGGCAGTTAAATGCCGCGGCAACCGCCGACATGTCACCGATCGCTCGGAGTTGATTCCGTTCATTAGCAACTACGCAGTCGAAAAGTCTCCGGTGCATTCAAGCAGCGTCCAGTGCATACCGGTGGATCCCGACGCATGCGGTGTATTCCGTCCCCCGGCGCCTCCCGTCACGTTATTCTCTAGCGTGCTCTTCAATGCAGCAAATCTGCGGCTCCTTCCGCTTCCACCACAGAAATCTAAATAAATTAGCGATATTTAAATTTCTGTGGCTCTCTTCCATATCTCTTTTGTTTTATTTCATAGATAAGTAAATTACACTTCAAACCGTCTCACTGATGAAATTTTACTACTCATACGTAAGGCTGAATCCCTGAGAAGAATGTGTAAGAAAGTAGGGGTTGCTCTTTGTAAAAATAAACATTTGTACACATTAATAAGTTAAAAATAGATCGAGACTACCTGCAAGAGCTAAACGGGTCACTATCATGGATTTTTATCAGTGAACTACGCAGAAACTGTATAATGACCTTTAGCATACATTTTTTGTTTCACTTTTAAATCTCATAAATGGCAAAACTATTAACCGGAATCTTATTATAGAAGCGTAAACATTGCTTCATAAATTAATCTTGACTTTGTGAAGGTGACTGTCAAGAACAGCCCTAGAAACAAAGAACAGCAGCAAGAATTTTTTTTTAATACAAAAATTTGCTATTTTTGTTCTAATATAAATTGTGACGCTAATGTATGAATGTTACTTTCAACTTATCATACATATTGTTACTTTTTGTGACCGCTAGAGGCGCTGTACAATTAACCAAAGATCACTGTGAGTGAAGTTTTTTATTTTATGAAATGTAAGTGCTCATTTGACCTCCATCTCACCTGATGGAAAGTGACGATGACAAGGTGGCCAGTTGGTATGTAGCAAAGCCATTTCAAAGGTGGCAGCAGTACTCCATGCACGTCTGGACTTGTGCTTAGTACAGATAAAGATCTGAGCGGCACTCGTAGTGCAGTGCACAAATCACCCTGAGACTAAGTTGACAAATTCCACGTGCCTGTAGCTTCATCAGCATCCCTTAAGCGTGACATACACAGACAGCGGGTGCGGGTCGGGCGCATATCGGGTCGGGGGCGCGGCGGGTCTAATTCCGTGTATTTATATGGATGACAACGCACGGAGCGGGGGCGCGGAATGGGCGCACTCGGTGTGTTGTCGTCCATTACGTACACGGAACTCGACCTGCACCCGCTCTCTGTGTGTTTCACACTTCACTCTTCAAAACAGGAACGCTAATAATACTCACTATTACTATTACTTGCCGGCAGAAATAG